CTTGTGGTGGCATTGCTTACGATACCCACCGCCTTAAGAAACACACTTATCAGAATTCACAAAGTGTGTATTTTTACACAATGGAGTTCTATTATAGCATGCTAGAGCTAGACACAGCATACATTAAGTGGGAAGAAAAATGCCAAACAAAAGAATACGTATGATTCACTTACATAAACATTTTGAACATTTGTATAAAATTCAAAAACGGGCAAGACTTACTTAGAAAGGCATAATATGCATTTACTGAAAGCTATTTTGGGGCTTTATACTTCATTCACTTTTATAAATGTTCAATATTTATTGAAAAGAATATATCGTTTTGGTTACAGGATTTGATACATACATACAAAGTAAGGATACATATATAACACACATATATATGCACACAAATATATATACTTGACCAATGTTGTTAATCTGCCTGCCTGATCTACCAATCTGAGTAATTTATAATAAAAATGCCCACCATAATTGTGGATCTGTCAGCTTTTCCTTTCAATTCTCCACTTTTGCTTTTATTTTCCAGGTTATGTAGCTAGCTGCATACATGTCATGATGTTAATATAATGTGATGCGCCTCTTTGTCCCTATTAATGTTACCCAACTTAAAGCTTTTGGTAGTTAATATTGCCACATAAAGTTTTTTTGTTTAGAAGCTGCCTGGCATGTCTTCTTCCATCTTTTTATTTTCTATATTTCAGTTGTTTTGTTTTAACCATTTTTTACTATGTTTATCTTTAATTGTCTTAGTAATAATATACTGACCAGCTGGTGAGGTAGCCTTGTGATTGATTTAATTAGGTAAGAGGTGGTTAAGTTATAATATTATCCAGTAATCTAGTCTGGACCATAGCAAAGGATATTTTCATTTGGAAGTTATCTCCAGGAAACCGTCTCTCTAGGCCCAGGACATCTTCATTTAAAAATGAGGATTTTTTGGCATAAGGTAAGGCACTTAATTTTTATTCTTCCTGCATGTCAAAACAGATTAAAGCACTATTTATATTAGAAAATGCGTCATTTTCAGGTTAAAATTGAAAGGCAATTCCATTATCTGTCTTTTTAAATGTAATTTCTGAAATGTGGGCATTGGTTTTTTTTTTTTATTTCTTATGAAAAGCCTCAACATTTTTAAGCAAAATGTACCCACTTTGTGGGTTGAAAACTTTGTAAATAAGGGGTTTATTAAATTTGGGGGAAGTGCTGCAACTGGAAGAGAGGGAGAGATGGAGAGAGTTAGCTGTGACTACATTGGATAGGGATGATTTAATTATGTACAAACACATATATATGTATAAAGTCATCTCACTGTCTCCCAGGCTGTGCAGTGACACAATCAGGGTTCATAGCTCACTGCAGCCTTGCCCTCCTGGGCTCAGGAGAACCTTCCACTTCAGCCTCCCCAGTAACTGGGACTACAGACACGTATCATCACACCTGGCTAATTTTTTATGTTTTATAGAGGCCATGTCTCGCTATGTTGCCCAGGCTAGTCTCGAATTCCCAGGCTCAAGTGATCCTCCTGCCTGGGCCTCTCAAAGGGCTGAGGTCATAGGTGTGAACCACTGTGCTGGCCTTAATGAGAATTTTGATGGGACATACAGGGCCTGCTCTCACATTAATTTTCATCTAGAGCTTCTTTCCTGAAATAAAAATCTTTCTGGGGCTTGAAATATCTTCACTGAAAATCAGGATTTCAGACTAGCAGAATGTAAGTTACTTTTTCTCCTTTAAAATATAAAACGGATTAAGGCAATAACTGTTTATATCAGCATACAATTTTTTCCTGTTAAAACTCAACTCACTCATTCACTGATCCATTCACCCATTCATTCATTCATTTGGAAAATGTTTATCAAGCAACTGCTGTTACCAGGCATTGTTTTAGATGCTTGGCCATATGTCACTGAGCAAAACAAAGATCCCTGCCCTTACAGAACTTATAGTCTACGTGGGAGAGAGAGAGAAAAAACAAACACACACCATGTAACTCAATAATAAAGGGTGATGGAGATGATGTGTGTTTTGTAATCATGTACAAAGTTAAAATTTTTAAAAAGAGCAGGTAAGTGAGATACGGAGTGCAGAATGTCAGGGGCAGAAGGGGGAAGGTTGCAACTTTAAATAGGGCCACCAGGATTGGTGGCCTCATCTGAGTGAAGACTGGAGTGAGAAAGGGAAGAATGGCCTTGGCAGAAAAAATAGCTAGTGCAGGGGCCCTAAGGCAGAAGCATCTGTGCCTGTCTAAGTTGCACCAGGAAGGTGTGTGGCCCAGAAAGGCACGAGCAAGGGATGAGATCACAGAGGCAGGGAAAGGCCAGACCACGGAAAACCGTGGAAACCACATGATCACCCTGGCTCTTACTGGGAGGGCATCAGGGGCCAGTGCCACCCTCCTGTCTGACTGGATGCTCTTTTTTTCTGTCCCACCGACTACAGTACTGTTTAAATTGCCACCAATCTGTTGCTGTTAATATGACAATGCATTGTTATGTTTACTTTCTTTTTCCTCATTAGGAAGTTAAGCACCTTTCCTGTTTACTGTCTATTGTCAGTTTGGAATTGTTTTTTCTGCATGGCCCGTTTATATCTTTTTTTTAGTTGGAGTCTCACTACGTTGCCAGGCTGGTAGACAGATTTCTGTAGTAATGGGTTTAAGGTCAAAGTTCTTGGGAGGCTATATGATTATTGTCAGCAAGGTCAACTGATAGGGTGAATTTCAAGTGATCAGTGAACTTACTTTTAGTTTGTTTGTCTTATACTTGATTGAAGTCAAAGGCTTTAGAGTTTCACAATCTTTTTAGTACGTTCTGATCATTTAAGTGAAACACTTTTTAAGCCCCAGCTGTTGATCTTGTGGACTGACTGTAACGTATGCTGGTGTTAATGAAATTGCAGGGCAGTCATTTGACGGGGCGGTGGGCTGGGAGTTAAACGGACTGGGGAGATTCACTGCGGGCTGACGAGGGCAGCTGGAACACGAAACCCTGGGTATGTTCTTCAACTGCAATGCTATCTTGCCACGGTTACTCCATTCCTCCAGCCCACAGGGCATCACTCACTCACTCACTCACTCATTCAGCAAATACTTACTCCGCACCTATCATGTGCCAGGCACTGTTCTATAGGCAGAGGACACACCAGTGAACAAGAGACAAGGTTCCTGCTTTCCTGGAACTTATGTTCTAATACAGGAAGATAGACAATAACAATAAAAATAATTAATAACGGCATCAGCGAACACGGACTCAGCAAGTTCTACCTGCTGAGAGAGTCTTAAGCACTCTACAAGTGTCAGTTAGTTAACGCTTACAGGGCCAGCGCGGGGCAGGAACGGGAACGAGGCCCGCCCCGCCGAGGGGCCGGCCGGGGAGGG